CCTCTCTTCAGCTATCTCTGCGCTTTAACTTTACTTTTGATCTTGTCAGCTCTCTTTTTTATATATATTCCCCCCACCTCGCTCTTTTACTGGACACTTTTCCTTTTGCTCGTGCCCTTGCTTTGTAGCCCTGGCTGTCCTTCCTGGTTTGTGTGTGTTTGTGAAAGCAGCAGACACACGAGCGAGATCTGCTCAAAAGAGATAAAACTCCTCGGAGCTCTCTCCACATCTGGATACGTGCATAATGGCCATAAAGTTGACATAAATGATGGCTTGATCCCTCTTAAACACACCAATTTAGTCACTGTCAAAAAATGTCTGCGCGCACAAACATCCATTTGTGCACATACGCACGTCACGCACGCACAAAAAAAAAAGATTTGTGATCTCACCACAGTAATTATCATAGTGGGGCAGGCATGCACACGTGTCCCCGGGGAATCTGTGCTAGCTGCTTGTAAACACACACACGCTCCAGGGACTGGCGTGTGAGTATAAGCAAGCCCTTGTTCGTCATTGGGTGTCCCTGAACGCCCCACCACTGCGTCGTTATGTTCGTGTTGGAATTCTGCCATCCTACGAGACCTCCCACACCCTATAATTAGTGTCACCCGGGCAACTGGAGGAAGAATGCTTAGTATTCTTGTCGTCGTGGTAACTGCGTAAGTGTTAGTTGGAGGTGCTAGTTGGAGGTGTTGGTTAATGACAAGGACAAGTCAGCGTGCTACTTTATGTGGTGTATTATGTGATGTATTACAAAACTAAGCAATGAAATCTGTGTCACCTATGTGCCATGTAGAACTTCAGACAGTTTATTAAAAAGGCAGACGGTTGTGTGCGTGATTGCAGTTATTGCTTACAGTATCTTTAAAGGCACAATAAACACCCCGGCATGGCCACATCCAACTGTTAGTGCATCCAGAGACAATAATATACTTTTGAACTCCTCCTGATCTCCTCATTTCCTCCATCTGTGAGCTGCCTGTGCACCCTGTGATCTCTAAACACTGCACACAGTCCATGGTGACTTCAGCTGATTTGCCTGCAGAGTACAACTAAGGATACATGGTCATACATGTACCGGCCCCCAAACAGAAAGCTGAGTGACTAAACTAATCCAACTCCCTTTTATAAACTTGGCATGTAAAAACATATGTTTTGCTTTATGTGAAATATTAGTTTCAGTTGTCTGAGACAGGGTTCTGCAAACTTTGTGATAAAAAGAGCCATTTTTGCCACTTTTTTTTTTTTACTAATTATGATGTCCGGAGCCTCAAAACCTTCTATAACTGTGTACTGTCAACAGCTGGAGATGGCTTTTCTGGCCAGTGGGGGTGATTTTATAAAACAAAAAAATGTCTAACTAATATTAACATTTGTTGCTATTTTTACATTTTAATGCAAAAGAAAAGACCAGATTCATGAAAAGAAAAAAAATATATACAATTTTTAACTATTTTATAAAAATTAAAAACACTGAACTCTGCAGGTCGATGTGCGTTCTCTTAATTGTTGAAGAATTAAGTATTCTACATAAAGCATAAAGTTAAAGACAGGATAAAAATAGGCCAGTTTGTTGGATATACAGTTACATTTTTTATGAAAAATAAATACTTTTGTATACTTTGACTTTGATTTTTGTGTTTTATTCTTAATGTTATCAAAGATACTCATCATATTCCTTCTCAGCAGCTTGTCTTAAAGATATTCCAAAACATTCTGGTGGTTTTGTCAGAAAGATCACGCTGTGAGACTGGAAGTTGACTTAAAGTGGCTAACAAGCTACTAGCATGACGTAGTCCACATGTTTTACACCTTGTATTTGTACTATTCTTCACATATTTGAAAATGACGTGAATTCTGCTAAAATTAGCCATTTTTATTGTTGCCAATGATTTAAATAAAATCCAGTTTTATTTTAGTTTTTGTCAAAGCCTGAAAGAGCTGCTGTAGAGGGACCAAAGAGCCACATGTGGCCCCAGAGCCACAGGTTGCAGACCCCTGGTGTAAACTCTGTTTTGTTTAGATCTTTTTATTATTCTGTAGAACGTTTAAAGAGTTTTCATTAGTTGCCATTGCAGCTACTGCTCAGGTACAACATTACTGTGTAATATGATGCATGCTCAATAATCCATGTAGAAAAATCTAAAAAAGTTAAATCTGGTCCTCTGGACATTCAAAAAAAACAAAGCAAATCAACAAAAAAAATGTAGAAACGTTTCGTCTCTCATCCGAGAGACTTCCTCAGTCTGAGGTGCTGTTTTCAGCTCAGTCTCTTAAATAGCACCGTCTCAGAGTGGATCAACCAGTTTTGCTGCTGACAACCAAAACCAGCTGATCACTGATTACTGTGTAATAATCAAAGAAGAAAAAAAAAAACCCTCCAAACTGTTGGGTGAGTGGTCACCATGGTAACCACACACTTGTGTCTTTCACTCCATACAGCCAAGGTAATGAGAGGCAGCTTAAAATGCAGTCTGTAAAAGTACGTTTCAGACAAAGAGCTGCTGTGCAAAATATATAAGTGAGATCTTTAAACTTCTCAAACTTCGAGCTGCAGAAGACTGATGGTGAATTTTTATGTGTCTACAATGTTTCATGTAACATAGAAAACCTTTTGAGTAAAATTATAACTGAATCTACAGATGGCTGGGTGTGTGCGGTCTGCACTCTGAGGGGATTTGAGAGATTACTGTAAGGTCTACTGCAGTGAGAGACACGCCAGGTGAGGGATGCAACATTATAAGTACCAAAAAAAAGGTCTTGTTTGGAAAAGTTACAACATTTAAGACAAATCAAAATATAATGTGTGACTTCATCAATTATCAGTTAAACTTGTTTTTGAAAAATCAATAAAATTTATAAAACTTGAACTGTGAGCGTGAAATCTGTAAAACATAGTGCCGGTTCAGACATGTACAGTCCAACATTTAATGACCCGTTTGAATGATGTACTTTGAAGTGTGTCTGAGCAGCTGAGTTCTCTCTTGTTTTACTAAAATAGCATTAATTGCCAATATTTTTACTCACCATTTTTGCTCATATTGTTTACATTGACTGCTGGATACGGGCACCAGTGACCCCTGTGACCTGGAAAGGAAGAAGCAGGTAAAGATGGATGGATGGATGGATGGATGGATGGATGGATGGATGGATGGATGGATGGATGGATGGATGGATGGATGGATGGATGGATGGATGGATGATGGATGGATGGATGGATGGATGGATGGATGG